CCCCCGTCCACACTCGCCGTGGACTTCACAAATGTTAGGGGGCTCCATTCCAACATCAACGCTGTCCACTACCACTTAGAGACTGCGAAGCCGGCCTTGCTCTTTCTTACCGAGACTCAGATATCCCCCCGGCTGATACTTCCTACCTCTCCTACCCGGGGTACAAATTGGAACATTCATTTGTGCCGCGGGCGGGAGTTTGCGTGTACGTCAGAGAGGATATCTGTTCTCGTCGCCTCGGGACGCTTGAAGGAAGGGACCTATCTAACCTCTGGCTGCGCGTAGACTGCGATGACCATCCGCGATTCTACGCATGCCTGTATAGGTCTCATAGCGGAAATACCGAAACTGACCGACTCATTGAGCACATCCAAATGGCTACAGATTCCCTGCTCGAAAGGGTTCCTACCGCTGAAATCGTGATACTTGGCGATTTTAACGCCCACCATGCCGATTGGCTCGGCTCAGAAACCACCGATCATGCGGGAAGATCCTTTCACGACTTTGCTTTGGCTTACGACTTGACGCAAATGGTCCCTGCGATTACGCGAATACCAGATGTGGATGGTCATAAACCCTCTTTGTTGGACCTTCTGCTGACTTCACATCCGGAGAACTACCAAGTCTCTGTTGAACCGCCATTGGGTTCATCAGATCATTGTGTGGTCGGAGCATTGTGCCGTTCACGCGCCCTCTTCGGCCTAGGTTCACGGGCTGTCGCCGCGTGTGGCACTATAAGTCAGCAGATTGGGATGGGATGCGGTCTTTTTTGCGTCCTACCCTTGGGGGCCCATTTGCTTTTCGTCGAGTACTCCAGATGCCGTCGCTGACTCTGTCGCCGAGGTGGTCCTGCAGGGTATGGAACTTTTTATTCCATTCTCTGCGGTGCCGGTCGGTGGCAAGTCCCAGCCTTGGTTTAGGCGTTCTTGCAAAGCGGCTTTGCGCCGTAAGCGTGAATGCTTTAAAGCCTGGGCAGAAGCGGTGACATCCTGTGATGTGACTATCGGCGAACGTAAAAAAGCATACAATTCAGCCTCCAGGTCCTTCAAGCGAGAAATCACTAAAGCAAAGTCAGAGCACATTGCCAGCTTTGGTGAAAAATTGGCCCACCTCCCTTCGGGAACTCGAGCCTTCTGGTCTCTTGCCAAAGCTGTCCAAGGGAATTTCTGTCAGCCCTCAATTCCACCACTGCATAGGGAGGATGACTCACTGGCCCATACCGCGAAAGAGAAGGCCGATCTTCTAGGCTGTCTCTTTGCGTCGAACTCCACTTTGGATGATCAAGGGAATGAACCACCGACATTATTGCGGTGTGATACTACGATGCCCGAAGTTATATTCCGGCAACGTGCTATCCGTAAAGCTTTGTCTTCCTTGGACATCCATAAGTCGAGCGGGCCCGATGGCATCCCTCAATTGTGCTGCGTACTTGTGCTCCTGAGTTGGCTCCGGTTCTAACGCGCCTTTTCCGGTACCTTTACACGCTCGGCACTGTTCCGAAGTGCTGGAAGATCGCTTCGATACATCCGATCCCTAAAAAAGGCGATCGCTCTGATCCGTCCAACTATCGCCCAATAGCTATAACCTCCTTGTTCTCCAAAATAATGGAAACCATTATTAACAGCCAGCTCCTGAGGTATCTAGAGGGCCACCAGCTGATTAGCGATTCTCAGTACGGCTTTCGTCGTGGTCGCTCAGCTGGTGACCTCCTGTATACCTTACACATAGGTGGGCAGAGGCAATTGAGTCCAAGGGGAGGCGCTGGCGGTAAGTTTGGACATAGCGAAAGCCTTCGATCGGGTGTGGCACAGAGCACTGCTCTCGAAGCTTCCAGCCTATGGGCTCCCTGAGAAATTATGCAACTGGATTTCCAGCTTTCTCGCTGATCGGAGCATCAAAGTCGTCATCGACGGAGCATGCTCCGACCTGAAACCTGTGAATGCTGGTGTCCCACAAGGCTGTGTCCTATCCCCGACCCTGTTTATTCTGCATATCAATGATATGTTGCAGCTTAGCAACATTCATTGCTATGCGGACGACAGCACTGGGGATACTTTTTACACTGGCCGGGCAGGTATTTCTCGGGCTGTTGTCGATGAGTACCGGAACAAACTTGTGTCTGAAGTCGAAACTCTTCTACGTGGAGTCTCGGACTGGGGTAGACTAAATCTAGTCCAATTTAACCCCAAGAAGACACAAGTTTGCGCGTTTTCCGCTAAAAAAACTCCCTTTGTCGCTACTCCCCTCTTTGAAGACACTCTCCTTAAAGCCTCAGCTAGCATCGGAATACTGGGCGTTGACATATCGAATAACGTTCAGTTTCGCGGTCATCTGGAAGGAAAGGCTAAATTAGCCTCCAAAAAGCTTGGTGTGCTCAGCAAGGCGAGACGGTACTTCACTCCGGGCCACCGCTTGCAACTATATAAAGCGCAAATTCGGCCCCATATGGAGTACTGCTCTCACCTCTGGGCGGGAGCTCCCCAGTACCAGCTCCTTCCACTTGACCGTATTCAACGAAGAGCGGTTCGAATCGTCGACGACCAGTCACTTTCCGTGCGGCTTGATCCCTTGGCGTTGCGTAGAGATGTGGGATCTCTCTGCATCTTCTACCGCATTTACCATGGAGAGTGTTCAGAGGAGTTGTTCGGTCTAATACCTGCAGCTGAGTTTCATCAACGGACGTCAAGGCAAAATACAAAATACCATCCGTATCACCTCGACGTCCGTCGTTCCACAACAGAGCGTTTTCTAAGGCAGTTTTTGCCGCGCACCACCACTATGTGGAACCAGCTGCCCACAGAAGTATTTCCGAACCAATTCGACTTAGGATCCTTCAAGAAAAGAGCGTACCAATTTTTGAAAGGCCGGCAACGCACTTGCGAGCCTTCTGGCATTGTGAGTGTCCATGGGCGGCGGTGTCACTTAACATCAGGTGAGCCTCCTGCCCGTTTGCCTCCTATTACATATAAAAAAAAAAAAAAAAAGCTTTCACCCACAAAAACTTCAAAATATATGTTATTGTTTTTTTGGAAGATATAAATTATTTTCAAATCTGTATTTTTAGGAGACTGATTAGATCTCAAACGCACCAAAGGATAGGCTTGTTACGAGATCTTTTAGGTCTCCAAAGCACCAGCTGAAAGTTCTTTGAAAATGATGGCGCAGGTAACGTGTTAATGGAACTGATGGAATGGAGTGGAAATTATTATTTCTATGATTATTTGTATTTTTGTAACTTCTGTAGTTATATCACAAAGTTCGTTCACCACAATGCTACATTATCTCTGAGTAATGTCTGTATTTATTTCGATATATCATGTGAAATAAATTCCTAAACAAAACATTTTTCCGCGCTTCGTGCGGGAAATGTCAAATTAACCGTGCGTTCACTGGCGACGGCAGCCGAGCCTAACATGACCACAGAACATGACGAATTATATAGACGCGGTCTTATGAACTACTCGCACTGTTGGCTATTAAACGCCGTATATTAATCGACGCAGCAATTTTTGCCTGGTCGATTCAGGTTTCATCCCTGAGGTTTTTGGTTCGATCCCCGGCTGTGTACCAATGGACTTGATGTCTATGTGCGCATTTAACAAAGTATAAAAAATCTCAGTATAAAAAATCGTGAGGAAACCCAAAAAGTCGACAGCGTGTGTCAGGGTCTTGGTCTCACTTGCCTATCAGATTGACAAATGATCATGAAACAGATACAGAAATCTGAGGCCCAGACCTAAAAACGTTGTAGCGCCATTGATTTATTTAATATACAATCATCTAATTCGGCTTCTAATTTTGTCTACAACATAGGTATAAGGGGATCGAAAATGGCCTAACTTCGAGAAAAGGGTGGCCGTGCCAGTTTCTTCTTGTCTTCGCGGGCGCTCTGCCGTGCCGATAAGAGATACATCTAATCAAAACGCAGCGCCATCTAGTGAGCATTTGGCGTAAACAATAGCTAGAATCACGTGCGTAATGCGTAATAGATCTATTTGACGCAACTGAGTAACAATATAATAAAACCTAGCCTCATGATTCGACATTAATAGTACAACTGTAATCCGCAAATATTTGCAAGTTATGGAAATTTTCATCTGGTATTCCCTTTTGGTCTTTGGTCTGACACTCTTTCAGGTAAGAAGAGACGGAGGAAAATACTCTGAGTAGGCACTATTAAAAAACTCAATGATGTTCAAATAAATGAACCTCTTTGAAGCTGGGTGTTAACTATTCGTTTACATGAACTTATAACTAATATATAAAATTCTCGTGTCACAATGTTCGTTCCCATACTCTTGCGAAACGGCTTGACCGATTCTTATGAAAATTTAAGCATATTTAGTAATTCTGATAATCAGCTACTATCTATTCAAACCCCTAAGGCCTAAGTGATAAGGGGTGTCCACCCCAAACTATTTATTTTTTAGACAAAACTTTTTGTTTTTATTTTTTTATGATACAGCATACAAAAATACATTTAACTCTTAATTGTCACCCCTCTACGATCAACCCCTATTTTTTTATTATAGTAGATATTTATTTTTATTGAACTAAAAAAAGTTTCCTAGAAATAATATACATGGCTAAACGACATTTTCCGGGTCAGAAATAATCCTAATATAAAATTAGTGGTAGTATGGTTGCGACGCTAAATCTAGTTTTTAAATATAAGTGACACTTCTGTTACCTATAAAGAATATGTGTATTGGAGATTATCGGAAACGAGAATGTTATATTACAATTTACGAGCGTGGGAAAAACTAAAGGGCTCATATTGGCTTCAAGTCTGCGATGATTGCTAATTTGCGCTTCTAATTATAATAACTAAAATATATATATGTGACTAAATCGCATCCATATGGTCACCTATATGTTGTGTTTGAGATTTATAAATGTTCATGAAAAAAAGGTCAAAGCAGCTTTACAATTTAAGAATATTAACCCATTTCGCTTTTAGGAATGTCAATTCCATCCTGGCGTGATGCCAGCACGCACTGATGACTGTCCTACTACTTGCCAGACAAAGGAATTCGATTTGGAACAATTGTAACAGACAGAGGAAGATCATACCCATACCATATCCTGTACCATTCACGACCACACCCATCATCAGGTCGAGGGATAGAGACGACAGAACAGTGAGCTATGAGGAAACTTCCCAAGAAGATTCCAAAAGATTTGATCTCAAATACAATCCTGTAATAGCTGCTGAGTCTGAAGAAACCACCAATTAATTGAAGTTCTTAGAAAGGAAGGAAATACAGTGTCTACACTGTTTTAACTGAAGTACTCTTTCGTCTCTTTCTTTCATATTGTGTTTATGCTGGGAGCAAAAGGGACACAGCATGTCATTTAGAGTCTAGACTCTTGGAAACCTACCCCATGAATGCGGTGCGTTCTACTCTAATAATTTGTATCTGTAATTAATATATTTGGTTTGTGAACAATATTGACGTTTTCTACCAAACTGTGTTTATGCTGTCGTGGAAAGAGACTCAAGACTACGTTTTTGACAGTTATTTTCTAAGCTTCTCTGAGTTTTACCTAAAACTTTGTAACTTGAAAATATAAATTGTTTCTGTAATTAATGTACATATTTAGTCTGTGAACAATTTTGACGTTTACTTTTAACTTGTGTTTATGCTGTGAACTTCTACTGATTAGATTAATGGAAACTACTAAATAAATTAGTTTTTAAGCTTACTAAATCAATTTTTTTATGTAAGTATGAATGAATGGGTATGTTCCGATATACACTGCGAGTACTGTATAGTGCTCCCACTGTTCAAAAATTCGTTCCGCTATGGACGCCAGTATACAGCCGCAGCGTCCTAGGGAAATATATGACGTCACAAATCCCCGCTATACTTCTACTGCGAGCACTGGCGTTTTCGAGGTAAGGTACTCGCAGTGCTTTGATCACGTGATCAATCAAAACCACTTGAATGCCTAACGGCTGATATAACTTACAGTTTAATAACAAACATTTAAAATTCTAACTTACTTTCTTTGTAGTATTAATTCAATTGACAGTTAATATTAATATAGATTTTTTTAATGCGATAATACTCCAATAATAGTTTTTCTTGTTGAATTGAAAAGCTTTGATGCACTCATTTGAAAATTGTGTCGAAAAACGAAGCTGCCTAGTATACTGGACTGCGTTCCGTTTTAAATTGTAACCAGTATAGCTGGCTATAGAGAAACGGTTTCACAGTATACTAAATTGACGGTACTCTGTACAGTGGTCGCAGTGTATATCGGAACATACCCATTATCTTGCCTTCTGAACACAATGCACAGTACTGATTCTCATCGAAGTATGCAGAAAATAGTATTATTTGATAAATTAAATAAGCTAAATGTAAAATAGGTAAATTTTTTACTCATAAATGGCAACATTACGTCACGCGATTACAGCGCTGCGTCTGGGGGACTTCTTTCATGAAAAGGACTATACATAGGTACTAGTAAGTAGTCCACCGAACACTATAACTTCTAGCGAAGAAGAACAACAACTTCATAGTAAAAAAATGCTTACACCAGCGCTCCAGTTAATGCCGGCCATACACGCTACGGTCTACCAGAAGATTTTAAAAACTATCTTCGAATGGACGAGAAAACATACATTAAATTACTTGAAATGGTTACTGCTATAATAAAAAACGAAGACACTGTTTAAATAACAAATCAAACTTAAAACATAAGTAATAAATGTAGATACATTGCCGATTACTATCTTAACAACCTGCGCAGGCGACCGGAGTACACGCACACACGCACAGGTACACCGTACGGTATCACTAGAAAGAATCGATTTTCGATCTTGCGCCGGTCGCCTGCGCAGGTTCAAAAACCTGCACAGGTCTATTCCCACACACATTCCGGTCTACCTGCGCAGGCATACCTGCACAGGTGGACCTCTCCGGTAGACCGTAGCGTGTATGGCCGGCATAAGGCTTAATGCCATCGGTAAGATCGTATAGCGCGAGAAATTTAAATATACAGAATTTTAAGGAATCATTTCATGTACAGAACTAAAACAAGGAGTGTACATGTGTAAAGGTGCCTATCCATTTGAGGCAGACTCGGGGCGAGGCGTGACGCTCGATCCGAGGCCGCACAAGTGGAGACACTGCCTCAACTTGAGGCACGCCGCGCCATGAGGCAAATTCGTTGCCGCTAGCCGAGCCATATTTTGTCGGTTTTTTTGGCGCGCTCAAAGAAGTCCGAGCCGTGCACTTGGTGGAGACGGGCGTGTCGCCTCAGGTCGCAATGGACAACGAAACTGCAGTTAAATTAATAAAATTATACGAGTTCCATCGTGTTCTTTGGGATCCGTTAAATAATAACTATTACAACAAAAATGCTAAGCAAGATGCGTGGAACGATATTAGTTCAAAGTTGGGGATTCCAGTGGACGCTGTAAAAAAGAAGATTACTAGTCTCTAGTTTTTTGATGTATTCTCTTTTTTTTATAATGTTAATGGCTATTAAAGCAGCGGCTACTCTACGCGCGTCTGGTGTCATCGCGTTCTTACTTTACACTAGTTTCGGATCTAGGCGAGGCGACATGCCTCACCTTGATCCGCAACGTGCCTCGAGCCTATGCCTCGGAGTGAGCAGCCTCGGTTTGCTTCAAGTCGAGGCAGCCGCTCGATCCGAGGCCGCACAAGTGGAGACGCTGCCTCAACTTGAGGCACGCCGCGCCAAGAGGCAAATTCGTTGCCGCGAGCCGAGCCATATTTTGTCGGTTTTTTTGGCGCGCTCAAAGAAGCCTCAGTCCGAGCCGTGCACTTGGTGGAGACGGGCGTGTCGCCTCAGGTCGCAATGGACAACGAAACTGCATTTAAATTAATAAAATTATACGAGATCCATCGTGTTCTTTGGGATCCGTTAAATAATGACTATTACAACAAAAATGCTAAGCAAGATGCGTGGAACGATATTAGTTCAAAGTTGGGGATTCCAGTGGATGCTGTAAAAAAGAAGATTACTAGTCTCTAGTTTTTTGTTGTATTCTCTTTTTTTTAATAATGTTAATGGCTATTAAAGCAGCGGCTACTCTACGCGCGTCTGGTGTCATCGCGTTCTTACTTTACACTAGTTTCGGATCTAGGCGAGGCGACATGCCTCACCTTGATCCGCAACGTGCCTCGAGCCTATGCCTCGGAGTGAGCAGCCTCGGTTTGCTTCAAGTTGAGGCTGCTCGGCCTGAGGCTGCTCTAATGGATACGCACCTTAACAATTTTATTAAACTACAATAATTAATGATATATATAGCACACTAAGTCTGTCTTGTTAATGTTGATATTACAACACAATAGCGTCAACATAGCACAGTAAGAGTTTTGCAGTAGCTCTCTTTTCAGCAAGAACAATATTTTACGTTAATTCAAATGAACTTTCTAAATGAATCGGGCGGTAGGAAAGAAACAGTAAAACGATTTAGAGATTTTTCACTTCACAACATTATTTTGTACACAGTGTTACTATTAAAGAAAAACCTAAAGTACCTTAAAAAAAGTTTTTTTTTACATTAGATATGTACCCAGTGTAGCTTTATATTCTATTAAATTTTATAGATGGCCATTATTATAAAATAATTTGTCTGATGTTATTACCATTAATAACAAGAAAATAAAACCAATAAAAGTTTGCTAACGTTGAGTATTTTAACTAACAATATGGTAGATATTTATTCAATCAGGTAATATCGATCTGAATTTAGCTGATTGCTTCTTTTGTAGAGCGCTTTCTCATTTTCGCAGATAGTGCCATTGATGGCATTGGCTGATAAGAAAGCTGTTAGCTGACATACTGTGCAGTAGTCTGTCTGTCATCTGACCCAGACTTGTTGTTGGACGTTTCCAATTTTGAAGGGACTATTCTAAAAATATTTTCTTCATGGTTAATATATGTATTTGAAACATTACACACTTTAACATATTCACAATAATTTAGGTTTAAATATCATATTCATAACAGAAAACAATACTTTTATATAAAATTTAAACAGGTATTCCAATATTCTAAACTAAAACGTTTTCTTCACATGTGACAAGTGTTGCCTGCCATTATTTACATATTCAAACTACAAAACTTGTATATAAAATTTGTATGGGGAATAGGTACAAAATACAGATAATAATGAGTTACAATAAATCGGGGCGCTAAATAAAAAATGCTTCATGGCTACAGAGAGTTTAAGCTTCCTGACCCAAAGTCCAGGCTTTGACTCGTCTCTAACAAATAATATAAATTGCTTTAGGTACACGCTAAAAATAATAATGAAACACACAACTCATGCTGAAGGCTTTACTAACAACAAGAACTAATACCAATATTTGGCTGCTAATTTAAAGTTAAGCTGTATTAATTAGGCACAGGTACACAATGCCCTAACTTGTGTGACTGATTTCCTGTTACTTCCTCGAGTCTTGATAATATAGGCATGCAACAGAATCCTTTTTCATTGAATCTAATATGGCAAGGTACCTCAACAAATGCAAAAGAGAGTCTTAATCAACATAATTCTTTATTACATACTTAAAATTATCTTTAAGTGATACACACCATTCATGTGTTACAGTTTTAGCAAAAGTAATTTCATTAAATATAATACTTCGCGACTCCTCTTTAAATCCTAGTTTAGTAAACATATTTATACTTCTCTCATTTGAAAATGAAATTTTTGCTTCATATTTCTTTAATTCAATAAAATCAATGCCATATATTAACATCAAAATAACAGCTTCCCAGCCAAACTTTCTACCTCTAGCAGCTTCTTCTGCAATCATTATTTCAATTTCTCCTAGAGCAAGATCCTTGACAAAAATATTTGTATCACCTATCATGGCATCTATAGAAACAACAATATTATATATTATTCAATAAAATTGAGAATGAACAGAATATACTACCACAATCATACCTATCTCATTATTGTCTACTTCATATTTTTGCTTATCAAGTATTATAAAAGTGCATTCTGAAAAAGAAGTACATTAATGTTGACTCTTGGCTGTAGAGGTGGTTCAACATATACATTAATGTCGATATATACAAACTGTCTTCATCTTCTTGCCATAACTTTTGCATATCATATTCTTGTTCTAATGTAAGTGGTTCGGATGCAGTTAATACTTGTAATTCCTCAGATTTCATCCACTCATGATACCTTTAAATGTGTTTTCACATTAGAAACGTTTTCAAAATAAGAACAAAGTTAATACACTAGCTATTTAACGTATTAGTATGAGAAGAGTAAAACGTACTTTGGTACATGTTTCTCAGTATATGGTACTAAAATAATATTTTGACTAACAATTTTAGTTTTACTATTAATCTTCATTATTAACAGGCTATTTCATTGGAAATAGACTTCAATTGCTTCGAAAATCGAATCAGAATAATGAAAATAAAACGACTTTCTTATCCACAGCAACAAATAACATAACAACCGACAACGTCTAATTGTCTAAAGTCTAAACTCTAAAGACAAAAGTTAGCAGTAGACAGTGCTTCCAGATCCCAAAAGTAAAATTACAGTGTTGTCAGCTAAAAAATATAGTAGTTTCTTAAAACAATACAGCAGATTCCAAATTCGATTACAGTAAAATTACAGTAAAAGTTTGTTTAAATATTAAAAGAAAAATAAGATGCAGTATTAATTTATTTGTAAATACATATAAGTAAGTTATTCTAAAATAATTTCCTCATGATTTTGATAAATTTTTGCATTCATCTTTAAAATCATTTCATTAGTGGGATTAAATTTGACGCAGTTTTCAGAATTTCGACGAATGGCTTGCTGAGCTAACATATTTCCTTTAATAGTATTAGTGATCAGACAGTTCCTCTGCTTGGTTTTATATTATTAATTTCACTAAACTTGCGTTCGCATTCAGCGTTTGAGTGAGGCAAAGATAATACTTGCAGCATAAATCGAGGCAGCAAATGGAATTTAATGTCTCCATTGCTATCTTTCATTTGAGATAACTGAAATAAAAAACAAATTTATGAAATGTGAACATAAATATGTGCAAGATTATGTAAATAGAGTTCTTATATAATTAAATTTTACCTGATGCCAAAATAAGTCTGCTGGTTGACTTGTATTCCAATGTATATCATTCGCAATAAAAATCAAGTTTCTCCATTCGTCATCTAACGTCTGTTGATCATTTAAAGTTGGGGGTATCAGCCTTGGTAACACTGGGTACAGTGAAGACAAAGACTGTTCTCTATTATCTGATAAGCAAGAATCAGGATTCAACTTTGCGATTGAGCTCAAAACTGGGTCATTTAAACTGTATCTTTTCCGAATGCCCACGCATGCTTTAACGATAAAGTTGAGGCATTTCTGTTTCATCACTGTAACTTCTTCGGTATTCGCATGTAGCTCTAGGACAGCAACTTGATTAGCAACACCCAATCCTAGGTATATATCTTCCAGATTTATGTAATGTTGATTTTGCCTACTATTAGTAGGGTCAATTGCGTCGAGTGGGGTGTTTTTAATATAATTTGGAGTTATGAATAACGATAACAGTTCTCTGTATAGCTCAGTCATTTTGTTATGGGCTTCAATAATAACGGGATCTTCACTTTGAAAGAATACGTTAACGCGGGTAAATTTTGGCAGCATCCAACATAAAAAATAAAAATATGCCTTGATGATGGGATCATTCAAAAGATTGTGAATGTCTTGGCAATCCTGTTCTTCTAGCCATTTATCGTCATAATATAATCGCAAGGCATCCCATTGCTCCATGATTATGTTCACAACACTGGACAGCGACAACCAACGCGTTTGAGCTGGACGTAGAATTTTGTGAATATTAGTGTCCGTAAATATTTGAAATTCTTTTAGCTCCGCTTGACGTTTGTTACTATTTTTGAAATAATTGTAAATCAATCGAGTCAGTTTTTCTGCATCATGAGGCAATTCTTTACAGGCGTCTGAGGCACATAAATGTAAAGAATGGCATAGACATTTTAGCACGATAATACCTGGGCACAATTGTCTAAACCGTGAGGACACTGAATTACGACAGCCCATCATAGTATTACAGCCATCTGATCCAAATCCGATCATATTTTCTAAAGGTACATTTCCGTCTTGAAATGATTTTATTATTGAATTAAATAATTTTTCAGCCGTAGCTGAGTAATCACCAATCCGTCCAGCATTAGTATCATTAAACATTTGAATAAGATCCCAGAATCGACTTACTATTCGCCCTGAACTAAGATCATAATATTTGACTACAATACACATTGTTTTCACACTGGCAACATCGGTACTTTCATCTACCATTATAGAAAACTTTTCGCGTTTCAAACTGCTTGTAATTTAGTATGCTTAAGATTAATGTTACTTGCAATTTTAGAATCTGGGAATATTTTTGGAAGTAAATCAACAAGATGGTCCATCACTATGTGGGATATTTTATGTTCTGCCATAAAGGCCGATAATTTAATTTCCGCAATTTTTCGTCGCTCATCATCACTTACACGTTGCTGACTCTTAAAAATATTATCAATGGTACGCACATACGATTGCCCAGGAAAACGAAGTTTATGTTTAGCACCTTCACCGTGTCTTTTAATAGCACCTAGATCGGCAGTTAAAGAAGAATCGCAGACAGTGCAAAAACATTTATAAGCAGATTTTTTGTCAGGTTTTAGCCACTTATGAAAGTCTTGGATTTTAAGCCATTCCTCTCGAAATTGTTGCCGATATTTCTTTTTTGCACTTGACGGACCAGCAGCGCCACGAACATCACTTTCTTCACTACTTGAGCCCATTTTTACAATAATATAGTTTTGGTTTAATTTACGCTATCCACAAGAATTAAAAAGTCTTAATCTGAAATAAATGTATTTGCTCGGCGCTCGCTACAGTAGCAAAGCAATAAAATCATACCAATCAAAACGTAATGAATGAGATGGAAAATACAATGTTGCTATGTCAGACAGAGACGGTTAGTTTTTGCTAAGCGTTAGTTCTGATTCATTGGGGAATTCCCCGCACGTAAACTATAATATGTAGGTAACAATCCTACTCTACATTGTCTATAGATGAAGGTCTGTGGTTCTGGGTTCTAGATTAGGTTGCAAATTTATATTTCATATTTTCTAATACGTAAAACGTATTAAATTTGATAATTTATATGAACGGAAATTAAATACAGTATTTTCATACACTGTATTTTATCATTACAGTATACAGTAGAAAAGTCTAAAATACAGTAAATCTACTGTAATTACAGTGAATCTGGGGGTCTAGCCAAGATGGCTTAACAGTAGTGTATGTAGAAAGTCGAAAACTAAATTTGTATGAAAATGACAGCTCGTGTCGACAGTCGGTAGCCTAGGCCCTAAAGGCGTGAGTCGGGATACAATAAGCGACGCCATGACAGTGCTACGAAAAGACACACATTAACGCTTACGCTATTCGGTAGCCAACGGCCAATTAATGTTTCGGCAGTGTAGAAAAAACGGCGTTTCTCCGCCATGTTTTAGCGTGATCTCAAAAGCTGCTGTTTGCAATAATTCAGTACAACTATCGCCATCTTTAATGGCTACCGTTTTAAAAACATGTCATATTTTGGACATTTTAACGAAATGGTTTTAATTTGTTATCTGTCTTTTTTTAACGTTCTCGTGTAATTATAATAATTTAAACTAGAGTAAATATTTTTAAGTTAAGAGTTTTAGTTTTTCTATGAATCAATGCGAGGATAACATAATAGACACAGATAAATATGAAAATACCAAGAAAATCAGCAAATTAGTAGAGGTAAATCCTAGTTATATTGGATATCTTTTATTGATATTTATATTGCATGTAAGTTCATGAAATTTTTCTTTAATTTGAAAAATACATATACCATTTAATATTGCTTATATTATGTAATCACAAAGTAAAATGGTTGTACATATTATTTGTATATTTCAGATGAGAAAGCAGTCACTAATGAACATTATTAGAAGTTCTAAATATATTATATTGTAATTATAATAGAAGCTAATGATATAATATTGATTTAAATTAATCAAATAAAGTGGATTTTTACTTCATGAACTTTGGAAATATAAAATATAGTGAGCAATACTAAGTACTTAATGGTAAGCAGATATTTTCTTTAATTATTTACTAAGTTAATATACTAGAGAAGTTATTATAATATTGTTAATGAATGAGAAGTTTTAATTCAAGTCCTTTGGGAGTTACTGACATTGTTTGGTTATTAAAAACTTTAATTGACAATAAGCAGCAAAGTGACAAATTAAGTATATTTTTAAGTTTAGAATTAAGTAGGTAAAGACTTTTAATATTAAAGTTACCTATTGATCAAAGTACTAACTAAAATATTTTATTTTCAGAAAAAGACAACTAAAAGTATTAAAAAAACCACAAATGGACAAGTTTTATTAAAGTCTTATCTTTTAATTAATTAAAGTGTTATATTATGTACCTGAAAATGAATTTGATAATGGGGAACGAAGCATTTTATGAATAATGTAAAAAATAAGACAAGTGGAGTATGAAATAATGGTTGGTTAAGTAACTTTACCTCAAGAACAGGAAACTGTATCTGAAACTATGTTCTTCCACATTTAATCTTAATAAGTTCAGCAGTTTGAATGTTAATGAGATATTATTATAAACAAACTGCATTTGTAGATTTTGGGAAGAATTATATCTTTACAATAACTATTATTATTTACAATTGTTGTGTTAAGGAAACAATCACTATTTTTTTAATCGCCCAGGATGTATTCATAGTAACTGTAGGTATCATAGTAATTTTATGAAATCATCACAACATCTAATGTTAGGTTTTATGAATTGAAAATTTTTTTGTATATAACAGCACACAAACAAGATATTGACATTGCTGCAAATTAACACTTACATTAGTTAATCTACATATATGAATACATCATTAGGTAGTAATGCATTTAATTTGGTGCACCTGCGTGTGTTCAGTAGTAATGTCTGTATTGTTTAATAAGTTGTTACATATGCTTATTTTTCTATGTAGACTGCATTATGTTAAGGAAGATATTTGGTGCCTTATTTTAATAAAAAATAACCATAACTGAAACATTTTTATTTTGCTACCTGTTTGTTTAATATTCCTAACTATTAGTAGGTATGGGTCATTCATATATTCATTATCTGTATATTCTTGTAAAATAAACTAATATTGTGAACCACTTTAATGGCTTTTCCTACTAAAGAAGACATAGGTAAATTACCAAAAATAAAACTGACAAATACATAACATACAATGTTTATTCATTTCTTACTTAAACAGATTTTGTATTTACATATTAACTATTAGCAAATCACTGATATAACCAAAAGTTAATTGACATAAATATTAACTTAAAATCAGCATCAAACTTAAATTTATATCTATTATATCTAAGATGTTGGAGCATCAATATGGAATCAAAGGTTGATTAAGGGTTATAATTTCATACCAGACTAAGTTTCTATTTTATAATTTTTATTAATCCCTCTTTTCATTTCATTGAGTACTTGCTGTTTTTCAATTCTCACTCTCTAAAAGTATAAATATATTATAAACAATCAACTTTTATGACTCTAACTTAAACTGAAATTGTTTGTTGGACATAAACAGAGATAATTCCAACTAGTAGCAAATCACTAATAAAATCTACACTTATATATAAATCTGCTTTCAAATTGACATTAAAAATGTTCAAGCACAAACACCAAACCTAATTAAAGCTTAAATCAAACTCTAATTTCAGTGTTCACACTAGTCTACGTTTTTTTCTATTGTTTTTAATTCCTTGGACTTTATCAACTTCTAGTCAACCTTATTTTCACTCTTTATTTATCAATCCACAGTACTATTTCTATTGTTTCTTCTAAGCGGTAACAAAAATGTTGCTTCTTCATTTTGTAGATTAGTTGTGAGGTCAAATCCTAAAAATATCAAAGTATGAGTACTACTAATTATTATATATCGCGATTATGCAATTTCAAGATATTGTATTTATTTGTAGCCTTAAATTTCTGAGAAAACATGGAAACAAACCATAATTAATTTAAACATGCAATTAAAATTCATATATTCACTTTGCACCTTCCGTAAATTCCACTTAAATCGAAAATTGTTCCGACCTTGCTGACATTCTAATGTCCCTTTTGTAGCTTCCAATTGCAAATTTACAATAATATTGTAAAGTTTTAACTTTTATTTGTTTATAAAAGTGACATTAGGAATACATTTAATCCAGAGACAATATGACGGAATAAGGTGCTACGAACAGCAGCTCGCATCTACGCTGTCGACTTTGCGGTAATGTATCGACATGTCTCTTGGCTACGAACGAAGCGTTTTCGACAATACAATTACGCAAAAGCGGTAGTGTATGTAGAATACTTTTCGACACCAATATGGCTAGACCCCCTGGAAGCGCTGGCAGTAGACGTCAAGCCTCAATCGCATCGCAATACAGCGAGGAAATGCTGCCAGCTTTAAAGGCACTACTGCCTCAGGGGAAGAAAATAAATTTGTTTTAATTTTCAATTTATTAATTAGTAATTATTATTACTATGTAGGTTAAGAATATTGTAATTACTGTATATTTGTTTGTTGGAAATATATAAGAGCTTTATTTTAATTAGGTATGTAATGCTTTGTTATATTAATATTTTGTTATAACTATGCATTATAATGTGTGAGATTTGGGAACCCTTTTAAGTAAAAAATACCTGTGTCAGGGTTCCCAGCTTTTCCATAACAAACTTAATAGTTAATTCCATATCAACTTTTTTTTTTAAATTACAATTTAATGTTTTATAAGAGTTTACATCTCCCATTTTTTAAATAAAAATCATTATGCGACGTGAGTGACGCGTAAATGCGTGCATGAGTGCTCACTCATGTTACGCGTCACTCACACTCGTGTGGGTGCATATGTGAGTGAATGAGCGAATGTCATAAACTAGGTCATATATATTTATATATTTAATCACTTTTTTATGATATTTCATAAGGAAAACATTTAAAAAACTTGCAATAATTTAACAATGCGATATTTCAACATTTATGTCGACCTAATCCTTTGATGTATATTGGGATGTGTTGTGGAAATTTTGGCAAGTAACCATTTCCTTTTATAGTAAATTTTATTTATTTCTTTGTATGTACCCTAGTTTATAAGTGCATCGAAATAAAGCTCTACATTTAATGTGTTTTGTTTTGCATAAGCCATTAAGTAAGAAAATAATATCCGTTTAAATTGTCGTCGCATGATGGGAATATTTTGAAACTTATAAGTATTTAAAACCTTTTAAAAGGCGTATATCTCTTCCAACCAGGTATCAATAATTTCTTATCATTACTGTTATTATCAATAATATTCAGACTAATCGAGTATTTTAATCTAAATTTAATACGCTCTGTGCCCGTATCTTTTGCAGCTGTAATTAATTATTTGGTTTTAATATTTGTTTAAAATAAACACTTATTATTTTATAAATATTTATTAATATATAGAATAGGGTTAGGTCAAAACCTAAATTGGCTTCCCAGAGTGACGATCGGACTTTATTAAACATTAGGAATTTCTTTATATCTTTGAAAATTATGAATTCATGAACTTAGTAAAATCTGATATGATTCTTAAGATTGGTCTTAAACATTCACATCGTTTATGGTATGCAGTCAAAAACCTAACTGTCAAACCATGTAACTTTAACCTACAGACCCACCAACTTATCTGTGAAATGGAGAAAATGGGAACTACGGCCGCCATGTTGAATTTCGGCAGCTACAGGTTAGTGTTGTCTACTTTCTTTTTGTAAATTACCCGATATTATTTTCATTGATTACTTTTTAACGTAATTATAACTTAAAAAATATAAAGCTGAGTGATTCAACTACCTATAGTTTTTCGTCACGTCAAAATAACGCTGGAATAATCTTAGGGGCTCTCCCGCATAAATTACGTTTGGCTTAGCGTAAATTCTCTCCACTCCACTTTTTTTTTAATATAACGTCCTAGAGTGGGAAAAGGGCAAGAAGAATAAGTTTATTTGCAAGTTATTAAATTTCATTTGCCTACTTTACTAAACATTTAGTTTGTAAGTGGAGTATCTAAATTATATCAATTGAATGCCAGAGAAAAAGCTAATGTATGTATCTACCTACATTAATTTTCTTATTTTTGAAGACTATTTAGTAAATATATTACCATTTTATTATTATAAAACAATGTTAGGTATTGTTTAAAATAATAAAATTATGTTTATATGTTTAACTAGTTTCTTATCTGACATACCCAATCATGGGTAACTTTTATTAATTTGCAACACTAAAGCGACGGTGGCGCTACCACTCAGTTCATAGATAAGTTGGTGGGACTATACATCAAATTAATCATTAATGTATTTAATGCGGTATTAACAACTACAACAAGCAAGCTCATTATGCAAAATTATAGTTGCCATATGAAATTTAATTACTTAATAATAAACCTAGAGAGAAAAATTTATTGACACTGTTGTCTGTTGAGAACGTATAAGTTACAAGACGTAGATTCATACCTTATATTACACAAATAGATAAGTATACTAATTTAACGTATTATAAATAAAAGGTTTTTAACGTATACAAAGTTTGGTTAGCAAAACTTCGTAAAGGAAAAACTCTGATTAAGCGTCAGTTATGATGTTGAACAATTTGCAAAACAGGATTAACATTTGGCTTTGGCACTTTAATATATCTCATATGATTAATACGTTAATACAAGTGGAATGACGAGGTATGTTTTCCAAACGATTTTATCTTTAAAACCAGTTTATTTTAGGTTTGAATTAGCTCCATGTATTTACAAAAATAATTAAGTCTAACCTAATATTTTCTTCATACATCTATGCAGAAAAACGAAAACTCTCTTTTCAATGTGTGGAAGACCTCTCTACGCAGGATGTATGTCTATAACAAAGCTGCTAGCACTTTCAAAGGTGGTGGTGGTCGATATCACTCTTTATCATAAAAGGCATAGCTTTTTAATGCCATTTCCCAGACATTTTATTTCACATTTGTTTCTAACCATTAATTCTCTCACATTTATTTCTTGTCATTCAAATATTTATCTAAAATATTCAAGCCCGATCTTGCTAACTCCAACCACTGAGCTTGCAATTGTAATGCAGTATCACGTTGACGAAGCTCAACATCCCTCTGACGAATTCTTTCTTTTTCCAACTCTGCATACAACTTCTCTTTCTCTAACTCAACATACATCCTATCTCTCTCTCTGGTTTCCTCCTTTGGTGAAGATTCACATCTAGCTAAATATTCATCTTCATCATCATCGTCTCTGTCATCCATCTTTCTTTTTTGTTGAAGGTATGGTTGAGGAGAGTCAGGAGGAGATGATTTTGGCGAAGTTTTGATTCTTAGAGGTGACATGGTGGACATTGGTAGTATTGACTCTTCATCTTTATCTTTACTGGACTCAGAATTATTCCAATCTGCACCATCTGTAACTACATTTAGAATGTAGAATAATTGTTTTTTTAAATGCCAACCAAAATTTTATGAGCCAGTAAAAAATTTGTTTATTTCATGTATAATGAACTTAAAAAGCAATCTACAAAATATGATATTTTATAATTATTACCCATAAAATATATATTCCTTAACTTACCGAGGGCTGTTGTAGTTGGAACTAGGATTAGGTTCTCAAAAGTAGGATTAATATTCTTTTCTTCCACTTCTATTGTGCATTCCGCCTAAAACATTAATTGTTTTATCATATATATGCAGAAAATATATTGCAGTTCCATGTAAATGTAAAACAACTTTTTACTTACACTGCCAAAACTTTCAGTTGCTGGTCCAATAGTTGTTAGGATACCAGTAATTGCAAGAGCTCTTTGCTCTAGTTCCGTGAGACATTTGCTTGTGGTTGGTCTACCACCCCTGCCTTGCAAAGAGTGAGTTATTTTAGCTAATTTTCTTTTAGTATTATTTTTAAAGTCACTCCAGACCTTAAACCAAATATTTATTTTTACAAAAGTTCACAAAACCATAAACGAAAGACCTAAACGAAACTTACTTTTCGCCATTTTTCTTCACTACGAGCTTCTCGAGTACCTTGACTATTGAGCATATCTGTTAACTCTTGCCACTTTTTCATTGTCCACAGTCGTCCACTTGGTGAATTTTGACACTTCGATAAATCCCCGTTTCTTTAATGAATATATTATTAGTACAAAGAATTTTAAAAAACTGTAAGTACAGTATAAATTTTAACTTACTTCTCCATGAACTCTACCATAATCGAAAACTGGGTATAACTTGTTCTTAAACTAGACATCTTAAAAATATTAATAAATAAACTCCGAGAAAACTACACGAGATGTAGAAAGTTATAAACTATTCTAGCAATGCAAAATCATAATGGCCGCCTGTAGAAACCGAAAAGTTTAAAACACGAAAACGAGAAACTTAAGTTGCTTAGATATATATAGACAAGAGTATAATTTTTAAACCAAGTGTTTAATATCACATCAATTTATATTATTTAACAGTTAATTTCGATTTCTAGATGTGCCTTTCGTAACTGTATCGACCAAAGAATATACTACTCTAACCGTGATATCGACTTCGTTTTCACCAGACGTCAGCAGTATTCGTTTATTGTCTTTTTACGTCAGACTTGCCCGACATTCGACTCTCGATCTTGCGTGTATACGAAATACGAATACCATCTAGCAATTAGCATCTTGAATAGAACGCAATTTTGCACCATGACGCTGACAAGTTTCATAGATAATTATTACTATATTATCTGTGAAATATATTTATTATATGGGACAATAGACTTGTCTTTAATTTAAATACTAGTTATTTCAATTCAATTCATGCTACTTTACTATTATTGTACTTCTTAGGCCACTGACTGGCCGGCCCGAAGGCCCCAGTTTCTAAAGCCTAGAAGTTGTATAATATATCCTAAGCGGCTGGAATAATTTTAACGGTTCAGAAAATATGTCATCGCAGATTTTCTAACCGTTCAATAAATTAAGGTATCGCTACAGGTATTTCTGGTACTTCTGAAGTTTGGTATACTTTAGATGGCTAACTGTCGGAACTTAAAATTACGTTAACATTCTTCGTCTAGTAGATGTTGGTGTCAAACTCAAACTATCTCCACGAATAAACTGGTTTTCTAGTCTGTGACTAAGTGTGAGGTATTTACTATTTAGTACGTGACATGTGTAATTTATTTACCTACGTATTTACGGTTTCAAGTTCTCTATGATTTTAATCTTTAAAAACAGTTTTCTAACTTGAAACTGAATTTTTAAGCGACATAGCTTAACAGTGTAAGTTAGCAAAAAATATTAAAGTAAATTTAGGCCTCGCGTAAAAATAAACAAAGAAAAAGCTTATAACGAACTTTGAGAAGTACTGATTATAACTTGCAAATTTATTTGACTTTATATCTTTTACAGATAACAGATTATTATTACGATAACGTAGAGCGACTTATACGAGGGAATGAGGTCAATTCTATTTAGCAATTTATGAAAAAAGTCTAAAAGGTAATTTTAGGCAATCTTATATTATTTTATCATAATGGCATAACGTAAACATTATAACGTTATATATTTTTTTCTTTTCAGCCATAATGAATCAATATCAAACTGAAAGACGGCTCTGCTGGTGCTATGGGCTTTTGGCTGTAGTATTAGCCGTGTCAGTGATATGCACAGCCATCCCTTACAACCACTGGAGAGCTACACTAGATGTGTGTCCTGGGAGCTGGTTAGATAACAATAATTGTGGTTGTATTTTCTTTGGAGCGAGCTCATCACAATACTTCACTGGAGGTCATAACTCTTATTGTTTATATGCAATTTTTGCTCCATTACCCATATTAGTGTATGCTCTGGTGATGGCATTTTTTCACATGTATAGAGTCTGTATTAATAATATTGGCTTGTACGAAGGAGACAAGTCTACTGGTATGGAAGAAATGTAAGTAATTTCAAACATGTTTTTATTCATGATTACTTGTATATTCGGGCCGTTCAAGTATTAGGTAAGCAGATTTACTGCAATTTATCTCCCCCCTTGCTGTTTTTTTTAAATATACATTATTTTCTTGTTTTATGTTCATTACTTCTTTTAAAATATACATAAATATATATATATGTAGGTCTGCCCTATTGAGTCATTGTGGGTATCAAAACATTTTTCATGTGGTCATTCTTCTACATTATTTATCAATTTATTTTACAGAGAAGGTGAAACAATTGTTGTAACAACTCGTACTAGAGTGTCACAGAGTGTTGATGGTGTAATATATTGCTGGATACCTACATCGAGTGTTGCGGCTGTATTTGCATTATACAATCTGATTCATGCAGCCATTATGACTGACGGCTTCTATAAGACATGTCAACAATATAGAGGATACCTTGTTAGGGTAATGGAAATTATAATTCTAAAAACAGTGAAAACTCAATGTAGCAGCATAGCGCTTTATAAACTCTCTCAAACATGGAAATGTCTTGCCTTTGCCTTGTCCGTACACAATATTGTTTCTTAATATTGCCAGAATATGTGCCCCCTTTAATATTGCAACATATTGTCGCTGTAGAATGATAACCTCGTATGTCCAGAAAACCAAACATTACAGGAAACAAAATTTTTTTAAATGTTTGTTAAAATATTATTATGTGTTTTTGTCCATAGTTTTGGATGGTAAAAAGGAATTATTTATTAATAACATAAATAAGTCCTTACTTCATGATTATAACAGTTAAATGACATAAGAGTCTAAGAATAACAAATAAATGGTTTTTTGACAATATTAATTGTGATTAAATATACAACTCAGCACTGAGCGTATGTGTCTGAACCACCCTAGTTTATTTCCAGTTTAGTTCTTAATATAAAGTTTTTATTGCTACACAAATATCCAGCCCAAAGGTTTATATGATTCGAACACAATTGAATTAATTGTTTTACATCGGACTTTGACTTTGGCAATTTTATTTATCTCTAAATATATAAAATTCTCGTGTCACAATGTTCATTCCCATACTCCTAAACGGCTCTACCGATTCTTTTGTAATTTTTAATGCATATTCAGTAAGTCTGAGAATCGGCTACTATCTATATTTTAAACCCAACCCCAAAGTAGGGCCTCATAGCCTAGCGGTCTTATTAAGTGGCAGCTAGGTGAGGGGTACCGGGTTCGATTCCCGGTTCGAGGGCAAGTTTTAATTTTATTTAAATTTGTTCTCGGCCTTTGGGGGGGTTGTGCGGTACCGGGCGAGTGCTTAAACCGTACATGGAGGACACGGTCGAATTTCTAAAGACAAGCACGAATTATAAAAAATCCTATACTTGACGCTGGCTAATGCACAAATCGTGCCAGAGCCATTTTAAAAAAAAAAAAAAAACAAAGTAATAACCTCCCAAAGTGGTAAACTTTTTTATTTTTTAGAATTTTTTTGAAGTTATACTTCTTTAGGCGCGTTATGAAAAATTTATAAAGAGTGAAATTGTACGATGCGCGCGCACCGTGACACAAAATTAACAGAATGAAGTTAGTGGCGCATGTTGGCACGCACGCCGCATACTAATTATTATTAGAAAATAATAATATATTTTTATTTAATTTTTCAAATGTAAACTGAACTTTATTGACTATAATGACTCCTTTTCCAGTCTTTGATTATTTAATTGTAATTAATTATTTGCATACAATCAAAAACAATTTTTAATAATGCCAAAGAAGTATAACTTCTTACGCGCGTACATAAGTACACGCACCCTTTTTTTGATACAAAAATACATACAACCCCTAATTTTTACCCCTCTACGATCAACCCCAACAGGGGTATAAAAAACATTTTATTATAGTAGATACATAGTTATTTTAATTGAACTAAAGAAATAATATACAAAACAACGTTTACCGGGTCATCTAGTAAATTTTATAATTATTTGTCTGCCATTTTAAATTGACCACTATTAATCAAAATTTCAGGAGGTTCGTGCATCTGGTGACCAAGCAACAGTGATACATTTCAGACTCGCTTGTCAAGCAATTTTTGATTTTATGGACTACATACAAAAGGATGCTCCAAATAGTCGTCGAGGTGATTACATAAACACTGGTGTATCTTTACAAATAGCATTGATAGCTTCATGGCTTGGGGTTATTTTGTGGGTGGCGATTTCCATTTATACTGCTATCAGGGCGTATAAGGAACGTGGTGTTTTGACCTGTTGTGGAAATTAAGAAATTGTTCGTATAATTTTCAGTGTTTCTATATTAAAGAACGATTTGTCGATAGTTTTATAGTGAGCACATTTGATTTGTTATTAGTAGAAAAAAAAGGGTGCGTGTACTTATGTACGCGCGTAAGAAGTTATACTTCTTTGGCATTCTTTATTTTTTTTAAATATTAAATAATTAATAATAAATATTTAACGTAAATAATTTAATAATATTTAGTATATTATTCAATTATTAATTAATATTAATAATAATTATTATTTATTATTTTATTCATTCAATTTAATAACTACGTATGTTTCATAACCTTTTAACTTAGTAACAATAGGTCTTTGTGAAAAAGCATTGCTAAATTTCTTTGAAAGAAATAATTAAAACTCCTTTATTTGTTTAAAAGGTAAATGTCATTATGTTCATTCAAAATTCTTGGCATAGCTGCTAACTTCACGCATATTCTATTTCTTTTTACTTGTAGATTGTCTTATTCCCATCTCGCTCGCGCATGCTATTATCACACTGACAACTTTGTGTCTCAGGTGCGTGCGCATCGTAAAATTTCACTCTCATCAATTTTTCATAACGCGCCTAAAGAAGTATAACTTCAAAAACTATTCATATCAATTATTACGAGTCATAGATAATGTAACACAACACATCTTAATTCTAATTACATAAATCATAATACTGACATAAAGTTCATAAAAAACAGTGGTTATTTTCTGTTTACATTTTACATCTCATACTTTTTATTAGCATCATGTAAGTCACAAATTGAACGCCAAATGCCAATTAGAATATGACATAGAGAATAGAACAATATTGACTATTGACTTGACGCGCGCTTTTTTGTCTACTCTAGTTAGTCTATGAATAAAGATAGCAACGTAACTTTGAGTTTCTTAAATAACCGCAATACGCCATATCGGAACAATGAATGTATAATTTATTGTGATTGTCTGTAATGAATGTTTCTCTTCATATTGTGACATGATTTACTTAATTATATTTACGAACTTTCGTTTAGAAATATGATGATGATATCAGGATTAGTATACAATAAAACACAAAGAGTCTGAAATGTAATTTTTGTAATACATTCCAAGTCAATATCAACGAAGAAACCACCTTTTAGAATAAGTACATATTTTTTGAAATATTTTACAAAAACAATTTTTTTATTAAAAAATTGTACCTTTTTGGTATGTTTTGTAGTTTTTTTGTTTATGACAAGAATAAGGTGTTTTAATGCACTGCTATTTATATTACTATATTATTTAATAAATAAAAATACGACATCTACTTATAAATTCCTTCAAAAACGTACTATGAGACCTATTAATACTGAACATTTACTGTGTGATTAAAAACAGCTAAACATTCAATTACTAATCGAGGTTTATAGTACGTATAAGCTTTAAATTGTGCCGTCCAGTTATAAGAATAATTGTTTATTTCTGTTTTAATATATTTTACAAATAAATTTGTGTTTATTATTATGTACCCTGAGCACCCTGAGGTCATGGATCGATACTCTGCGAAAAATAAATTATTTGCAACGCATATCTGCCTGTAGGAGCTGTTTTGCTCACTCAGGCGTTCTTAGTTTTATAAGCGTGGCGATTACCTATATTGTCGCAGTTACACCCCGAGAGTACAGCAATCCAGCGCAGTCTCTTTAAAATTTACATTTATTTAGTTTCATAGCAATTAATATTTAATTATTTCGCATATATTTTATTGTTGTACCAGAATGGTTAATATACAGGGCGTCCCAAGACTATGGGACATCAAGGGAAAGTACCTGAGACTTTTTTTAATTTGAGTAAAATGACGTTTCACGTTATTCTTTTCTTTAAAAATACTATATTACTTAAGAAGAATAATTATTCTCTATCTCGTCTCTGAAAGAAGGTCATACAATAAAACAAATAAATTATCAATTCCATTTAATACAACAACGATAGAATATTTTCTGACATACATACTTAGGGTATGTTCCGATATACACTGCGAGTACTGTATAGTGCTCCCACTGTTCAAAAATTCGTTCCGCTATGGACGCCAGTATACAGCCGCAGCGTCCTAGGGAAATATATGACGTCACAAATCCCCGCTATACTTCTACTGCGAGCACTGGCGTTTTCGAGGTAAGGTACTCGCAGTGCTTTGATCACGTGATCAATCAAAACCACTTGAATGCCTAACGGCTGATATAACTTACAGTTGAATAACAAACATTTAAAATTCTAACTTACTTTCTTTGTAGTATTAATTCAATTGACAGTTAATATTAATATATATTTTTTAATGCGATAATACTCCAATAATAGTTTTTCTTGTTGAATTGAAAAACTTTGATGCACTCATTTGAAAATTGTGTCGAAAAACGAAGCTGACTAGTATACTGGACTGCGTTCCGTTTTAAATTGTAACCAGTATAACTGGCTATAGAGAAACGGTTTCACAGTATACTAAATTGACGGTACTCTGTACAGTGGTCGCAGTGTATATCGGAACATACCCTAAATGACAGATAAACAATAATACAACTTAATAATATTTAGCCAATTTTAAAGCTCATTAAAGTGAAATTTTTTGACATTAACAACTGTCGAACACAACAGTCTCTGTCATATTGAATAGACATTTATTAACTCTAAATCATGACATCATTTTAAGTTGTTTCGTCTCTTTCGACAAATTGTGAATATGCTTTGTAGAAAAGAAAGGTACCTACTTCAAAACTTTTACTTTATAATCCAAATATTAAATAACTTTAATTTGTGTGTAATATTCTGTACATAAATTCCGCACTAATAGATTTACTGCAATTATATATTACGAATACAATTTGTTTTTTTTGTTAAGAAATATTTAAAGTGTAAAATCGGCGCTAAGACACTATACTATTGAAGTTGTCAGTAACAGACGCTCAAATTTTCATAAAAAAATAGCGAGTCATCATTATTTTATGGTGATTGTTTGTTGGTTTCGTGCGTTTAAAAAAACTTTTTTTTTATTGTACATATATCCCCCTAAATAAATGTACCTCCTAACCCCCCCCCCCAGGACATCTTGATTCCCCTTAAATTTGGGGGGTAACTTAGCATCACTGCATGGTTATAGCGCCACTGATTAATTACTAACACAAGTAATCTGTAATATTCACTTGCGTCTATCATAACATTATATATTAATGGCACACAATATACATCTAATAATATATTACTATTGTTATATAATTTAAATTTTAATATAATATTAACATGGCCTTATAACGACACATCATGGTTACTCCAAATATGAACAGTTTTCGTACCACGTAATTACAAGTGACATCAGCGATATTGAAGAACATCGGCATTTTAGTAGTCTTACGTTTAAATAACTTAGACCGAAATTTATTGAGTCAATCTCTCAGAAAGGTTTTTCTTAATCTACCAATAGATGCGTATCGAGAATATATTTTTTTATTGGCGAGTATAAGTCTCGAAAAATATTATTTAGAAATCTAGAAGAGATTAAACATATTGAATGAGTTATCGAACGTAAAGCCGTACTCAGAGTAGTTTATTAACAGTTAAGAGTTACTCAAGATATTTAGTAAAGATTAAAATATTTCATATTCATAGATCATTATAGTATCTGTAATCTTCCTTGATTCATTTTAATTATCGGAAAATAAATGTTCTAGAAATACCGGGTATCAAAAGATCGCTAAAGATAATTATTTCCCTATAATTTTATATAGAAACGTGTTAATTAATAGAAAAACGTTATGCAATAAGAAAAGTTATTGTCTTCGGAAAAAAACGGTAAAATCAAGCTAATGAACAGAAAATGTCGAACGTCCTGACACAATTGAAATGAGTTCAAGGCCGTGATTAAACTATACATATTTATAACAACATGAATATAGTATTTACTATTTAATGAACGACTGCTTCATATTCAGAGGCGAGACAAAAGTGCAACTGCCAAGTCAAAATCGAATACATTTTGCGTACGGAACTCGTTAGACAATGTGCCAAGTATCGACTCTGAATCTTACATGTACGGCTCTGTGCCACAGATTATACATAGGTATATTATATAATATCAAAAGTGGTTAAATAATTCGGTTACAGCGAGATTCAAATTCATTTAAAGATACAAAAAGTATATCTAAGTATAGTTTAAATTATTATAAAAATCATGTGATTAAAAAATACATTAATAGTAACAATTTATAATATCTGTGAGGAAGACAAACGTATGTCTGTAGCTATTGTAAATGTATAGAAAAATAAATATAGAATGTCGGTCGTAAATCTTCATGATTTGGCAATTTTTTTATATATTAGGTATTTCAAAAATCAGGCTCTAACAATATAAAGAGCTGTATATCGATATAGACCATAATTTAATATGTAATATTTATTATGTATGGTGCATTATGGCGGGGCAGATTATATGCAGACTTCAGATGGGATGATTTAAAAAAACTACATACTCCTCCCCCTAATCTGAACATTACCCAAATGGCCCTTTATTGAAATAACATGAAACATTGACGATTTAACAATATGCCATTTTCACTGTCCGTTTCATGAAATTATAAATTCTAGTACCAGACAATATTTTGGATACAGTGTATGTATTCTGAATTGATTTTACGAGTAAACAAAGATGAAGTGTGTAGGAAAATTACGATTTTATCACTAACCACACACTTTCCTTTTCGTATTATTATTATGTCCAAAATTCAAGGCACGAGTCGGGCTGTTTTTTTATTTCATTCAAGTGGTTAACAGCCAACCTTTAGCAATAAAGTGGCACCAGAAGAAAATGATAACCGTTGAATACATTATCATATAAAAATTAAAATGTTATAGTAGTAGTGGAGAATGGTTTGTGGTATGTGAAGGATGATTAAATAAAAAGTAATTTCTTACATTTGAGCTTCTAGTCAAACAATCGTTTAGTTCTTTCACCAAAATATAACCTCTTATTAGCAGATGTCACAGACTGTCAAATATATACTGTATTTCAATTTTGACAATTTTGACGAATTCAATGAGATAGTAACGCTTGCCTCAAAATATTTGTCCAAGGTAACGAATTGCAATGGAGACTAACTTTTTAGCGCCAAGGATTCCTTTACTTTTTGATCAAATTTTAACATTTTCTGGCAAGACACCCTAAATTTAACACTAATAGCTGCCAATTTAAATTTCTCACATCTAACAAAAAACATCACATATATCTAGATTTAGATAAACTGCGACAGGTGTGACCATCTTATTTATTAAATTGTATAGAAAAAAAATTGTGAATATTTATATTTATGTGTATAGAGGGGAATTTATTACATTATTTGCATAACTGGAGTGCTTTATAGCAAGACAATTTGTAAAATGATTAGAATCTGTTAAAATATTGCAACATTAGCTCCATCTGTGGCCGCAAATTTGATTAAAAAAAATTGCGCAAAAGCAATAAATTAAAAAAAAATTGCTTTACATTATAGTATAGATTCCGAGACACGCCTGTCGCAAAGGTTTTGTCTATGGCTCAATGTTACCTTTAATCCTTTAATACTTTGTAAGAAAAGTACATTATACGAAAGTGTTCCTCTGCTGGAATATTTTTTGAAGTAATTAATTTTGACACTCCGCTTCCCAATCCAGTGGTATCAGAGTGCCAAGGTGTTCAACAAATTTCTCATAAGTGCAAGGTTCCATACAATTGGGTACTCTTAGTTCCATTGGAACTTCTATCTTCGTATTGTTGCGATAGAAGAGCTAAAATAATACATTTCTTCAAGTTTTAATAGAATTATAACAATTCAGTAGAAAAAATAGTTTATTCAGATTAGTCACATGACGCTTACGTCATTTATTTATACGTTTGTAAGTCTGTGCGTCACTATCGAAAACATTTTGACAATTGCCATAAACCGCTATATTGGATCGAAAATAATATACTGCTATTTAGAATGTCGGGAAACTTACCAATATTTTATCGTTTACAACAAGCTATACAGATACCGGCAAACATCTTGAACAAATGTCCTTACCTGCGCAGAAGCGATTTTTAGGTATCACTGGGCGGCGGGAGAGTGACGACTGACGTGTCGATCGCGTGATTTGTAAATCAGTTGACGTTTGTGTGTACGATGCGAAAACTTTCCCCCACTCCCTTGTTTAATACTCAAAAAGTTATCCGGTAGTAAGTTATTGCCGGTATCTGTATCAGTAATAACAAACTTGCAGATTATTTTTCTTGAATTGGCTAATAATTACCTTGACGTAAAATTTGTCCTGTTCGACCTCCTCGTGCAATTCCAGCAAAATGCTTGCACCGTACTCCGGCTCTAACATCTCTGTGTAACCCAATGCTCTCATTAATGATACCAAGTTGACGTCATGCCCTGAATATATGTATAGTGCCCGATCCGTGTTTGTGTGCATTACTGCCTCTTGTAGGTGTGATCTTATGTTATTTAAAAGCGGGCCTGGAAGTTCAAGTACTATGTAAAAAAATATATAGATAAACAAACATGCAGGCAACGCACTCGCGAGGTCTCTGGCATTGAGAGTGTCCATGGGCGGCGTTGTCACATCACATCAGGTGGGCCTCCTGCCCGTTTGCCTCCTGTTCTATTAAAAAAATAATAATATAATAATAATTGTAAGGTGTAACTAATACAATATAGGTTAATCTAATATATAAAATTCTCGTGTCACAATGTTCGTTCCCATACTCCTCCGAAACGGCTCGACCGATTCTTATAATTTTTTTTATGCATATTCAGTAAGTCTGAGAAACGGCTAGTATCTATCTTTCAAACCCCTAAATGTTAAGGGTGATCCACCCTTAAGTTTTAATTTTAATTTTTTAGATTTTGTTTTTATTTTTTTTTATGATACAACATACAAAAATACAAACAACCCTTAATTTTTACTCCTCTATGATCAACCCCTATTTTTTATATGTTAATTAAAATCATATGACTTGAAGTTGGAACTCTGAGGGTTATATAGAGAAAAATTCACAGAAAAACCTAAAAAGTTTTTATTCCAGAAAACCAAACAGTCTCCGGGGTAGCATAGCAAAATGTTCCATGTTGGTATGTACTAAAAAGGTAGGCTAAGTAAAATCACATTAAGGAGAAACGAAGTTCCCGGGGACAGCTAGTGATTTATAAATGAATGAAGCTGTAGAAATACATATAGTTTAAATAATTAGTATAAAAATTCTTACCAGTATGTAATCTTTGTAATGATTCATTATATGATAATAATGCCAAACTCAACATAAACGGTGGTCTCATTTTAGTAGGAAAAACTGTTTTAGTCCACTCCGGAAGTTTCAAGCCTGCTTCGTATTGAGCTTGTAATGTACTATAAAAGAAATCTACATCTAAAATACTTCTCATACTTTGATTTGTATGTTTACTTAAATAGTCGAACAACTCTGTGTATTTACTATCAGCATTTTTTTCAGCTAGCAATTCTTGGTACATTCGCTTCCAGGACTTGCATGGTTTCGTGGCTGCTACTAGCTGTAAATTTTAAAATAAATATTAATACAACCTATGTTAAGCACTTAGACAAGCTTAGTTTGTCAAAGTCAAAGTCAAATCGTTTATTTCAATTAGACCATCTAAAATGGCACTTTTGAACGTCAAAAAAAAAAAAATATAAAGATGATTCTAGTTGCCCCTTCCAAAAGGTAGTTTCGTGTGGAGAAGAATGGGCAAGAAACTCCACACTTACTCTTTTAAAATAGGTTTACAATATTTTGTTACATTTGTTAAATAATTATATGTGAAGACAATGTACTCTAAGAATAAACTACTATACTAAAAAAGTTAGTATACATGTTCCTCACATATTTACAAATATCGAAACCTTAGAATATTAACATTAAAGAGTAATAAAAATATTAAAAAAACACAACAAAACAGTGTGTGAGATACAAAAAAAAAATAATTACATTTGTAGCATTTATAAAAAAAAAAAAATAATAATAATAACAAAAATATGTAATAAGTTTGTTAGATGTAGCATAATTATTTTTATCAAATTAATTCACGAAATAATTAATTCAAGGCCTCATCAAACGCATAACAGCACAACAATATACAGAAAAAAAAGCAACATTTTTTCAATCTATTGGACTTTTTGTACAAAACTAACCAAATACACTAAAGGCCTATTTAGATGGAGAGAGTTTCTTCGTCTAAACGTTCACACCTCTCGCTCTTCCACTTTGGCGAGAATTGCCTCGCAATGGAAAGTTTATTGTGTCCGTGTAAACAGAATTTAAAAAGCAATAATCGTATTTCGAGGTTTTGTGCCAGTTGCTACCATCAGTGCAGGCAGTGCTTGAGGGTGTTTTAATTATCAGTACAAGAATTAATTAAACGGAAACAGAAAATGATTTTGGGTTTTTTTTTTGTTTTTTTTTTATAGAACGGGGGGCAAACGGGCAGGAGGCTCACCTGATGTTAAGTGATACCGCCCATGGACACTCTCAATGCCAGAGGGCTCGCGAGTGCGTTGCCGGCCTTTTAAGAATTGGTACGCTCTTTTCTTGAAGGACCCTAAGTCGAATTGGTTCGGAAATACTTCAGTGGGCAGCTGATTCCACATAGTGGTGGTGCGCGGCAAAAACTGCCTTGAAAAACGCTCAGTTGTGGAACGGCGGACGTCGAGGTGATACGGGTGGAATTTCGTATTCTGTCTCGACGTCCGATGATGAAACTCAGCTGCAGGTATTAATCCGAACAACTCCTCTGAACACTCTCCATGGTAAATGCGGTAGAAGATGCAGAGTGACCCCACATCTCTACGCTACGCCAAAGGATCAAGCCGCTCGGAGAGGGATTGGTCGTCGACGATTCGAACCGCTCAGCGTTGTATACGGTCAAGTGGAAGGAGCTGGTACTGGGGAGCCCCCGCCCAGAGGTGAGAGCAGTACTCCATGTGGGGCCGATTTTGCGCTTTATATAGTTGCATGCGGTGGCCCGGAGTGAAGTACCGCCTCGCCTTGCTGAGCACACCAAGCTTTTTGGAGGCTAATTTAGCCTTTCCCTCCAAGTGACCGCGAAACTGAACGTCGTTCGATATGTCAACGCCAAGTATGCCAACGCTAGCTGTGGCTTTAAGAAGAGTGTTTTCGAAAAGAGGAGTAGCGACAAATGGTGTTTTTTTAGCGGAAAACGCGCAAACTTGTGTCTTCTTGGGGTTAAATTGGACTAGGTTTTGTCTGCCCCAGTCTGAGACTCCACGTAGTAGAGTTTCGACTTCAGACACAAGTTTGTTCCGGTACTCATCAACAACTGCCCGGCCAGTGTAAAAAGTATCCCCAGTGCTGTCATATCCGCATAGCAATGAATGTTGCTAAGTTGCAACATATCATTGATATGCAAAAGAAATAGGGTCGGGGATAGAACACAGCCTTGTGGGACCCCAGCGTTCACAGGTTTAAGGTCGGAACATGCTCCGTCGATGACGACCTTGATGCTCCGATCGGCCTAAAAGCTGGTTAAAAAAGGGGTTCTTATAATTTTCTTTTTCAGTGTTCCACAAACACTGGTAACTTCTATAAAGTTCAATTAACTTTTGGGGCGTTCCCACGAAGCGTTAATCACGACAGTCAACTACGCTAGTCAACTTTCGTTCCTGACACTCACGAAAGTGTGAATTGATGAAACGTTCACATGGTTGGGGGATTTCATTCTCGCTTCGTGTTTCGACTTAGTCATTATCGAAACATCGATCATGAATGATCTGGTTGTTGAGAGTTGTGCTGTTTTAAGTTCGTTTTTTGCTACTATCATAGCAAAAAAGATTGAGCGCTTAGCTGCGGCGGCACGTAAATCTCTATCACGGTATTCCTCTAAACTTGGATCATATAACACCTTTTCCATAGAATATAACTCCAAAAAACGCGTAGTTTCACTGTCGTTAAACTTAATTCCACGTTGTTGTGACGACATCTTGGCTTCACGAACGGTATATCACGACTGAAAATCAAACACGTTTGATCTATCCACGCTTGAGTCGTGCGCCGTTCCTCACGAAAGCAAGTTTAACGCCTATGCGTTCACACAGAAGTGTATTTCACGAAAGCGTGGTTGACTGTCGTGATTAACGCTTCGTGGGAACGCCCCTTTAATATTCTCGGCAGCCCCGACAATTTTTGAGAATACCCTACTGAACTAAACTCGAATGAAACATCTCGCACTCAAAACGTTTTTCAAACCAATTTGTACGTTACTCGCATGAAAATAAATAAATTTCATTCGAGATCGTGTTTATACTAGTAGTTCCTCGTATGTAAGAATCTTCTTACTCAAATGTCGATGTGTAAACAGACGCAGGAATAGCGATAAATCCCTGGCGATTCTTATATGACAGACGAGTAGGCGAGAATTTAGTTCTTGACTTTTGCCTGTATGTAAACATTATGATAATGCTATCGCGATAGTCGTCTACGATTTCTCGCACCAAAACGTACGAGAAACTCTCCCCATCTAAACGTGCCTTTAGAAATAACATGCTTCCCTTTGCTGTAAATGGGTGACCCTAAAAATCTTAACAATAATAATTCCTTTTAGGGTAGAAGCCACAAGAAACCTTTACAAACTTACATTATCAAGTTGTCTCGGTAAAGAGTGTACAGGTATGGGCTGCCATAATATCTCAGGATGCCAGATTTGTCTTTCATAAGGAGGATACAATCCTGCTAAGAAGGTGTAAGCACTCATTAAACAACGGGAAGAGTCACTGCTTCTAATATAAACATCTTTCTCTTGATACTCTTCAGGAATGAAATTAGCATAATAACTTCGGTATTTCCTTCCCAGCTCATATAGTTGCAGTTTACCTGCCTATAAGATGTAAATGGTAAACAAAACATGAAGTAAATAAGATAAGTGGTCGCTTAGTGCATTGAGCATATGGCTATCAACCACAAGGTAAGAAATTTTAATTGCAGTTGTGCACAAATGGATTATTTCTCCAAAAAGTACAGAAGGCAGTTCAGCGACAACTTGATTATAGAACAAAATAATAAAAGGAAAATATGAAATTATAGACCAAGACCAATATAGGGTTGTAATATCCCTGATACTCTATTTACTCAATACTTCAAATTTCAAAATTAAATAATGCTTATTTACTTACATTAGTCAAGCTTCCTAAGCCATCTGGCCACTGATAGTTTTTAAAGGGATCACTTTTATATGAGCTAACTGGTGCCCTAGCCCCATGCCGAAAAAACTAGAAGAAATAATGAATTTATATGTTTATATGTAAACATTAGATCACTTTAAAAATGACAAAATACCCACTATAATAACAAGTCGCAAGGTTTTCGATTCATAGGGTAAGGTTTCACTTAGAACACAGTATCCCATTAAACAACTTAAGACTGCCAGGCCAAGGACAATAACTGCAGTAGTGGTTGACCTCCTTGGTAATGGTTTACATATTTTCTTTTCCTTAAACTGAGGTGATGATGAACGGCGCCAAGTATCATCATTATCGTATTCCATTGCTTTTGAAAATAGTACCATTCAAGTTGTGAAATTATGTATATCCAAAATGTGAAATGTACAATGGCTTTTTGGTACACCACTTAGCACATGATCACTGATAGTTGAACGTTATTTTATATGAGATTGCTACAAGAGTAATAAACATTGTTACATAAAACGATCAATTAATAAGTGGTGAGTATAAATAATATCTTTTATTTACTTTATGAATTAGACAAATCTCAAGACGAACTGAAGACAGTATGATTATTATTTTGAACTGTCAAGTGTCATATGTCAATACCTAATTTCTGTCATTCTTTAGAACGATAGCTGTCAAATTAGCGTAAAACCGTTAGGCGCCGAGATTAAACTTTATCTTTTATAATTTATTGAAAGTATTAAGTAATATTATACGTATTACGACGTCTACTGCACACGCCTATTTGTTAGTATTTTTATTTAGTAAAAATTTATTTAAAAGATTAAAATATGCCTCTTTTTAGTGGACGCTGTTATAGCACCGTTAAATTAATTGGGAAGACGGCTATTATAACAGGGTGTAATACTGGTATTGGTAAAGAAGCAGCTAAAGATTTTTACAAAAGAGGTCAGTATAATATAAAATGTTTTTTATGATTTCTAACTGATACTTCATCTGCTATCAATCAGAAACAGTGTCCTTCTGTCATAAAATTCAATGAATATACTTGTGACTAATCAGTATTATTGTACAAAATTTTCAGGGGCTCGGGTAATTATGGCTTGTAGAAACCTTGATAAAGCTGAGGAGGCTAAAAATGATATTGAAGAAGCTTGTAAAGACTTCAAGGATACAGGAAAACTAGTTGTGCAGCAATGTGATCTTTCCTCTCTGCAGTCAGTGAGAGATTTCTCACAAAAAGTGATTGAAAATGAACCACAGATAAATATATTAGTGAACAATGCAGGTATAATGATGTGTCCAAAGGGAACAACTGAGGATGGCTTTGAAATGCAGTTTGGAACAAATCACTTGTCTCATTTTTTATTAACAATGTTATTACTACCAAGAATAATTAACAGTCAACCGGCCAGAATTGTTACAGTATCATCTAAAGCTCATATAAGTAAGTAGATTTATATTGTACAGTAACTAGCCATTTACACATGTCTGCTATAGTGGAGTAATGGGACATTCACTGATCACCTTGTGAATAACTTGTTGTTGGTTGGTATTGTTGTTAGAGGACATCAACTTTCAGAGAAATGCACCACTGATGCTTAATCTATGCTTCCACCGTTAGATCTAGTTGAGATAAGGATGTGTCAACAACCATAAATTTAAATGGTTTATTGAATACATTAATAATGCACAAATTGTCAAAATTTTAAGATTTAGTACTTAACAATTATTAACTCTTTAGTATACTGACAAAGGCAAAATTCTGCTGCACTATTTTAAAAGGGATTTTGCTTGTTTTAGATATTCTAGGAAATAATTTTTTCATCTAACATACACACACACATCTAGATAACTTACTTTGGGCTAGGCTTTATCATACAGATAAAAAATATTAACAAAGCAAGCCCTAAATATAAAAATTGCAAGTTATATAATTTGATTTAAATATTTCAGGATATGATATGAATTTTGAAGATCTAAATTATACGCAAAGAAATTATAACGCAGCTGAGGCATATTCACAAAGTAAATTGGCAAATGTTTTATTTTCAAGGGAGTTGGCAGCTAAATTGAAGGTAAAAATAATAGTTAATTTGTCATAGTTTATAGTACATTCTTGATATACTGGACATAGAGACCTAGGTTGAAAAAATGTATGTTAAATTTGTAATACAATTTACTATAGTTGGTTGAAATAGATTTAAAAGACTCAATTCTTTGTATTGTTATTATTTTGAGCAGTGTCAGAGCTAGTAGCTAAAGTGAATTAAGAATTATTTCCTATGTGTTGAGCTGGTACGGTGAAGAAAACTGGCATGTCTTATGTTGTTATAAACACCATCAAAAACATAACTTGTTAAACAAACTAAGTCTGCTAAAAATGCAAATTTAGACGACTCATTCGTCTAGTGGTTAGTACCCCTGACTGCGAATCCATGTGTCCCGGGTTCGATCCCCGGCTGAGACAAACATCGATGTGATGAGCATTTGGTGTTGTGCTTAGGTCTTGGGTGTTTAATTATGTATTTATATATCTATCTATCTATAATATGTATGTATATCCGTTGCCTAGTACCCATAACACAAGCTTCACCAGCTTAGCATGGGACTAGGTCAATTGATGTGAATTGTCCAATAAAAAAAAATAAAAAAAAAATACCTCAGAGTTTTGATGTTCTGTCAATCAGTGAGTGACAAATTAAGAAATTTGATTAATTATAATTCTTAAACTAAGTACCAGTTGAAAGTGAATAAAATTAGAAATATACTGTTTTAATACAATCCATGGTTGGTAACTAGAAAATCAGGCTTCTAATTTTATCCACAACGAAGTTGAAAATGGTCTGAACTGCTTTGAGAAAAGGATAATAGGTCCTGACGTTTTTTGTGCTGGACTTGGAGGGCATTTAACATGCGGGAGTCATATTTTGGGTTAATAAAATCAGAGTTTAAGGAGTATTAAGAATATTGTGATAATAATATGTTGTAGATGGCACAGAAGGCTGATCACCTACTTATTAAAAACACCTAATAGGACCTTAAATTATATGGATTGTCATTATTATTTATTGGATGCTGATAATTGTGTAGTCTTCAGATGTATATAGTCATATTAATAATGTTTCAGGAGCATAATATACAGGGTGTTAATACATACAGCCTGCATCCCGGTTTGATAAAAACGGAATTAGGCAGGCATTTGGACGAGTCATTGTTCAGAGGGGCTCGCAGAGTTATCGGTTTCATTTTGAAGCCATTTATGAAGACGCCAGAGCTCGGGGCACAGACTACCATTTATTGTGCTCTTGATGAAAAATGTGCTGACGAAACTGGACTATATTACAGGTAAATATTTTATTTATTTAATGAAAGACCGCTGAGCTTTTCTTGACACCATTATTTTGTCGCGGAGATTTATTGATTTAACATTGAGACATTGAGATATGGGGTCTGTCTGCGTTTTCTACCGCATTAGAGCGCGGCCACACGATGCGTTATCGGTGCGGTGCGGCGCCGGAGAGGTGCCGCAACGTCATCCTACATACAAATTACTATACCATGTCACACGATGCGTTGACACGGCGTCGCACCGCAAGCTCGCCGGACTTGTGACCTGCGGGACGAGGCGGGGAGGTGTAAAATATATTGCCTCACCGCAACGCCCGTGTGGCACCCTATAGCTCGAAGTATTTGCGGATATTTAGCGCCGCACTGCACCATTGCCTCATCGTGTGGCCACGCGATATATTTTATATTTATATTTTGAGTAGAAAATTGTTTTGATGGGGCCCTATCAGTAAAAATCGATACGTTATACTCAGTTTAATTTTAATGAACTTTGAGATTTTCAGCGTACTCAATTATATGTTGTATATGTCCCACTAATGGCCATAGGCCTCCTCTCTTAGGCGAGAGGGGTCTGTAGTCCCCACGCTTGCCCAATGCGTATTGGTGACTTCACATTCATCTATAGAACATAATATTTCTTGGGCCCTTGGCATTTTACCAGCCCTGCCACCCTATTGTTACGCCACTGGGCTTCAGCGTGTGAGTCTTATCCCCGTCGTAGTTTCAAACCTCGGCCGTGCCGCAATGGACTTTCTATGTTCGCATTTAACACTCGTTTGTATGGTGAAGCAAAACATTGGCATGCCTTAGAACCAAAAATTCGACGGCGTATGTCAGGCAGAGCAGAATGATCACCTACTTGCATATTAGAAATGAAACGGAACTGAAACAGAAATCTGAAACCTAGACCATTAAAAGTTGTAACAAAAGTTGCTAAATATATTGAAGTAAAAGTATTAAAGCTGAAGGCGAAATAAAAACATCCCCTTGGCTTTGATATTGATGATTTTCTGATGAAATAATTGTTTTGGGTGTAAACTTTATAAATTGCTATGAAAAAGATATAAGTATGTATGTGTTAGCCGTATGTGTCAGGTCATGTGTATAGAAATACACATAATAAAATACTGTTAAGTAGTTAAGTAGGTTGCTGTGTCAATTTGCACTATGTTAATTGTCAAAACGATGTCAGCGTACACATCAAATTGACAGATTTGATTTGAGCCAAAATGGTGCCATATTAACGTCATCTATTGCCGCAAATATTTGCTATAGTATGGGATAATATAACTGTATTTAAATCTTAATATATATATTACTTCTGTGCGTGTGTATGTGACTGAACTCCTATCAAACGACTGGACCGATTTTGATGAAATTTTTTGTGTGTGTTCAAGGGGATCTGGGAATGGTTTAGATTCACAAATCAGCCCGGCAGATGGCACTGCAGTCGGTACTTTCATACTTTGCTTAATATCCTAATCGCTTTAAATATCATGCAGGACAACGTCTGTGGGGTCCACTAGTATAATAATAAAATTGTCAAATCACTAACATAAATAGCACAAGAGGTAACGCTGGTCTTGTCGCCCAGCGAGCTGCAACTAGCCCGGCGGGAGTCGCCAAGCCATTTTAGTAAATAGAGTCCCTTTTCAGGGAAAGTGGGACACTCCCCTGCTGCTGGGCATCTCGGCCACTGATCTGTCTGATCGCGTATCTGATAGGATAGGATAATATTGAATTTAATTTTACAATTAATGAAGGCCACAGCCGAAAGTTTAAAAAAAACAAATGCTTTAAACTAATTTAATTAAAAATAATGTTACGGCTAAACAATCCGATGTTAGGACTTTGAATGCGCACACAATATCAAAAGAATAAGGTTCCACGGGGTAACAAATGCTGACACCGTGAAACTTGAGCCACGTGTAATTCTTATAAATTGCGAAATGCAGATTCCAGGACTACTACGTAACTATGATAACATTTTATATGAGCGAGTGTTCAATGCGCACATATTTGCGTGCGTACAAAGTACACATGTCAGAAGTGAAACTTCTTTGGCAAACTAATTTTTAAGTCTTGTTCATATTTATACAAATCTAAAACTTTAATTGCCGAGACTTAGAGGGAGGAAAAAGGAAGATATTTTAGGAATTTCATGAAATTAAGTTTCTAGATTATAAATTAATATTTTTTTAATTTTAAATTTAAATTTTTTTAAATTTATTTCTTCGATAGTAAAAACACGTGGCATTATCACAATTCGTCATTTGAGATTTCAATAAATTATTTTGCATAAAATATAAAATACTAATACATATTTCATAAATTATCTTTACGAAATTTTAATTTTAAAAATAGAATTTCTAGAATAAATAATTCCCCCTTCTCACTCTCTCTCAATCGGTCTCTCCCTTTTCTTCGACAAAAGCGCTGCACACCTTCGTGACGTTTTCGTAAAAACGTACCCTCATGCGCCTAAAGAAGTTTCACTTTAAAAAAATGAAAGTCTATTGGTGACTTTAGAGTTGACTGGCGCAGACTCAAGCCAGTAAGGCGACACTGCTCTTCATCACAGCATTTTGAACGAAAGACAAGCAATTAGTAATGGGTTATTGTTTTTAAATTTTCAGCGACTGTGCAGTGGTACAGCCCGACCGAAAGGCTCTAAATGACGAATATGCTAAGAAGTTGTGGGAAAAATCAATTGAGCTGGTGAAACTCAATTTTAATCCTTTTACAGCTTCAGTTAACACGAATTAAAAGAGATATCAAGAAAGCGTACAATTGGTGGAAAGCGACTTTCTTGTACCTAATATTAATTTATGTAGAGATAAATATACTGTTCTGACACTCCACACTCTGACTTAGCGAAACTATGACTCATGTCAAAAATTTTGTTTTTTGTCACTATGACTTATATGTCAAAGACGTGTTGGATTTTGACATTGGCGCTTTTATACTCATTTTATTATTGTACTCTTAGACTAATGCATTGTGACATTCAGGAGTCATAGTTGGTGCTTTCTACTGATAGATAGATAGACTACTAGATTTATGGAAACTTATAGATAAATTAGTTAGAATAACAAGTTTTTATAATGTAAGTATTAATGAATATCTTTCCGTCCGAAATTAAAATTAAATTTATTATTAAATGATTTTCATTTAAAGTTATAATAATTGTTAATTGGTGTTGGTGAAATATTTATAAATTACATTTGTATGTGTTTATATTTTGTTTTAAGATTTAAATATTTGTAGTGTATTTACAAATAAAATAATACTTTTTATAGTTCAGACTTTTATTTCAACGTCGATTTGATAACCTCCTTTGGCTTTTATAATTCGGTAAAATCCTAATACATCGTTATACACTAGGTACTTGTTGATGCATAGCGCCTGAATACTATTGAGTAGCAACTACTACAGATGTCTTAACTGCTACAAACAGAACAAGGCGTGTTTTAGCTTTTAGTATTGCTTATTCCATTCCGATTACACCTCTGATCAAGGAAACATCTTGTTTGATTTATAATCCTTTTTTCAAGAAAAGAAATTACTTTTAACTTTATACTATCCTGCGTTAACATTGGTCCTTTGAGCACGGATAATAACAATAGAAATAAGGAATTAATTAATTACTTCAATCAAGGTCAGTGGAGGTTATCAAGAAGAAAAAAGGATTTGTACAGGAGTGTGTCGTGAGTCGGTATAGTTTTTTCTTATGTTATTTAAATTTTAAATTTAATTTTAAAGATTTAGTAACCTGATTTAATTATTGTTAATTATAAAGTGATTTGTGTTAATTATTATAGTTGTATATTATAATTATTTTTAATAAAATTGTAGGTGTCACGTTTTGAATGCTGCTACCTACTACTTTTGTTCAAAAAATATAATTATTTTAGTGTTTTGAAGTAGATAATTTAATTCTGTTTTATTTTGGTTGTGTGTGTAAGTTTTTTTTAATTATATACCTAAGAATATTGACGATAGTTCCAGGATTTAACTGCTGGCTCTGCAAACATGTCTGAAAAAACCGAAGTAGCTGAACTTATTAAAAAGCGCAGCAGTTATAAGGGTCAAGTTACCATTTTCAACGGGTTTTTATCTTCATTTGAATCGCCATCACCTCCCGATGAAAGGGATTATGAGGAGTTGGAGTTGCGCATTAAGAGGTTTGATGTATTGTATAATAAGTTCGATGAGGTGCAAACACGGTTAGAATGTTTACAGGACGATGAGAGTCAGGTGTTTGAGGAGCGTGAGGAATTTGAAAATAGATATTATAAGGCATTAAGTAATGCTCAGAAAATTCTTTCAAATTATAAAAAATCTCACATTCCTCTTCCATCTGATGGCGAAGGTAGTGTCATACATAGTGTTAAACTGAATCCTGTCAAATTGCCCACGATTCAAATACCGAAATTTAATGGTTTGATAAATAATTGGTTGGAGTTTAGGGACACTTTTACCAGTCTTATTCATGGTAATAATGAAATTGATGACATAAATAAATTTCATTATTTGAGGTCATCGTTAGACGGGTCAGCTGCTGTTGTTATTTCGTCGATCGAATTTTCTTCGTATAATTATAACACAGCGTGGAAGTTACTTTGTGACCGGTTTGATAACAAGCGTTTATTAATACAACATCATGTTACTGCGTTATTTAATATTGAATCGGTTACTAGGGAAACGGCGTCTTGTTTAAAAACTATTATGGACCTGTTAAATAAAAATCTCAGAGCATTGGATTCACTGGGCGAGCCCACAAAGCATTGGGACACTTTACTCATTCACATAATTACTCATAAGTTAGATAGTAAAACTAATCGTGAGTGGGAAGAGTATAAAGGTCGTTTAAGTAATGAAACGCGAATTGAGCTTCAACATTTCCTAGATTTCATGCGAGCTCATATTAATTTGCTTGATACACTTGAGTTTTCACGTCAGTCACACCAAAATAGTTGTAGTAGTGGTAGTAGTAGTTGTTATAAAAATTCAAAAGTTAAGGCTATGGTTACAACACAAACCAATCACAAGAACTTAAATTATATTAACGTTAAAGAGATTTGTCCTAAATGTAATGGCGAGCATAAACTGAACATGTGTTCTCAGTTTTTAGCCTTAAATAACGAAGAGCGTCTTCAATTATTGCCAACATTTAAGGTTTGTTTTAATTGTTTCTCCAAATCTCATTTTTCAAATAATTGCAAAAAAATCAGGTTGCAAAATATGTAAGAAAAAACATTCAGTTTTAGTTCACGTTGCAGATAAGCAGAAGCTGTTAGTGCGTGGTGAGGGTATTGGTTCTAATGCTACTCCCGCCATCAGTAATCCGGATAACTTGACATTATCAACCAGCGTTTCTTCCGCCGGTCAAGACAATAATTGTCGCCGCGCTAGTCAAGTTATACGATTCAAACAATCGCGAACACGTCGTTCGTGTTGTATTAGATTCTGGTAGCACATCTAGCCTTTTATCGTACAGGATGTTTCAACAGTTAAATCTGTCGTATAATAAAATAAGTCAATCCGTTCAGGGTATTAATAATGCAATTACCCAAATCGATAAAATGTGTAATCTGCGTTTTAAGTCATTGGATGACTCATTTACGTGTAACATTAATTGTTTTATTTTACCATCATTAACTGATACTGTACCAAACAGTACAGTTAATATATTAAATTTAAATATTCCTACGAATATTTGTTTAGCGGATCCTCATTTTTATAAACCCGCGTCCATCGACCTTATATTAGGCGCTGATGTCTTTTGGGATATAGTAGGAAACCAAAGAATTGAGTTAGGTGATAACAAACCTACTCTTTGTGAAACAAGGTTAGGTTGGATAATTTCTGGTCCATTAAATAATTCATTTTTCTCATCATATCCACTTAAACCTATTCAGTGTAATTATTTAAATAATAATTTCAACGATGATATTATTTTAAATCAAAGTATTCAAAATCAACTTTCAAAATTTTGGCATTTAGAAGAAATAAATAGTTCAATTTGTTCTAGTTACTCATCAGAACAAAAGTCATGTGAAGAACATTTTGTGGAAAATACTACTCGCTTGTCAGACGGTCGTTTTTGCGTTAGAATTCCACTAAAAGAAAGTCCTACTATCTTAGGTGATTCATTTCAGCGAGCTAAACAATGTTTTTACTCTTTAGAACGTAGACTTCGGACAAACCCAAAACTTTATGATATGTATCGCGATTTCATGACTGAATACGAATCGTTGGGTCATATGACAGAATGTGGGCTTAATTCGAATAAAAATGCATATTTTATCCCACTTCACGGGGTATTGCGCGAAAGCAGTACCACCACTAAGTTAAGAGCAGTTTTTAACGCGAGCTCACTTACTTCAAATAATATTAGTTTGAATGATATTCAAATGGTAGGTCCGATGGTACAAGACGATCTTTTGTCTATTCTTTTAAGGTTCAGACAACATAAGTATGTTATCGTCGCTGACGTAGAGAAAATGTACCGAAAAATACTTGTTCATCCTGATGATAGATACCTGCAGCATATATTATGGCGTGACAACCCATCTCAATCCCTTAGAGCTTTCCAATTAAATACTGTAACATATGGTACCGCGAGTGCACCATTTCTCGCTACAAGATGTCTGAAACAGTTGGGACTCGAATGTCAAGACCACCAGATAGCAGAAGTCATTCTCCATGATTTTCTCGTCGATGATTTGTTGAGTGGGGGGATGATCTGGATGTAGTGAGGAATATTCGCGAAAAAGTAATAACTACACTGGGCTCAGCTGGTTTATTCCTACGAAAGTGGAAGTCTAATGAGCCTCAATTAATTTCAGAGTCTGCAACAGAAGCCTCGCATAATCTTAATGTTGGGGGGAATGAGCCAAGTAAGACCTTAGGTTTAGGTTGGTTACCTGTTTGTGATGATCTTTATTTCCCAATTGGGTTTTCTACTGCGGCTAACACAAAACGTAGTTTGCTTTCAGTGATCTCACAAATATTTGATCCTTTAGGTCTTCTCTCTCCTGTTGTCATTAAATTTAAGATTATATTACAAAGTTTATGGTTGCAAAGTCTATCATGGGATGAACCTCTTCCTTCGCACATCCAAGCACTCTGGATGGATGCTACTAAAAATTTAAATGTGTTAAATAATTTACGGGTATCACGTCATGTAATGATTAACTCGTATGAACAATTAGAAATTCATGTGTTTTCGGACGCCTCTGAAAGGGCATACGGTGCGTGTTTATACATACGTAGTAGTGATCGTAACGGTAATGTATTAGTACGTTTATTAACAGCTAAAAGTAGGGTAGCACCGATTAAACCAACTACAATTCCACGGCTCGAGCTTTGCGGAGCTCAAGTGGCTGCAAAACTATATAAAAAGGTTTGTAGTTCGTTAAGAATTAAAGTTACGAATACATTTTTCTGGACTGACTCTTCCATTGTATTAGGTTGGCTTAAGATGTTGCCAAGTAAATTAAATACATTTGTAAGGAATCGCGTCGGAGACATTTTAGAAATAACCGGTGATTGTGAATGGCGTCATGTTCCTACCGCTCAAAACCCAGCTGATTATGTTTCCCGAGGAGTTAAAGTCGATGATATTGAATCACTAAACATATGGTGGTCAGGACCAAACTTTTTACAGAAGTCTTATACTGATTGGCCTTCCATTTTAGTACAATGTGAACCGTTGCCAGAAATGCGTAATGAGGTATGTTTACTTAACATTGCTCATCCTA